GTCTTTGTAAACTTTAATTAAATTCAATTTAAAAAAAGAGAACAATTTAAAAAACTAAAGAAATACATACTACTTAACCTCAGAATGTGGAATTGGAGAGACACTAAATAGTGACCTGACACATATAAAAAGAAAGGGCATCTAGCCTTAGGCAATATGTCTTTAAATTGCATCAGAATCAATTAGTCACTTGGACCTTTTTTTTCTAATTTATTAAAACCTTAATCTCAAATTCTAAACTATTTGTATTGTTTATTGTTGATTGCCATTGGGCCTCCTTAAACCCTATGAACAGAGGAATATGGGTAGTTACCATATTAGATATGTTGTTGCTGATTGCTGTCGAGCGCGATTCTTAGTGACAAAAGGCCTGAAGCCCTTCAGCAACCATCACCATTTATCAAAGTTCATAGAGTCTCCAGAGACATGCTATTTAGGAAGTGGATGCCACGCTTTCCAAATATTAGATATAGAACCCAAATATATGTTCACTCAGAATGAGTAGAAATAACCGCAAACATCCTTTATAATTGGAATAGGAATGTATGACACATGAATATTGGAAAATGAGAAGTTGTGAAAAATGAAATGGAACACATGAAGATTGACATTCTAAGCATTCGTGAGATAGACTAGCTTTGGCTACTTTGAATTGGACAGAGCGTGTGGTTAGGAGAGACTATTCCTTCTAAAGGGTCATCATGTTTGGAAAGGTAGGGGTCAGCAAAACAGAAAAAGCCTCAGTGAAATGGACTGATACAGTGACTGTAGCAATGGGCTCAAGAGTATGAGGGATTGTAAGGATGGTACAGGATAGGACAGGGTCCAGATATTGTTCATAGGATCACTATGACACATACTTGACTCAGCAGCACCTAACAATATAGAGGATGGTGCAAGATAAGACCAGGTGAGGACAACTCATAGCAACTCTATGAACAAAAGACCTGAAGTCTTTCTGTAACTGTCGTCATTTCTCAAAATTCATAGAGGTTTCCAGAGGCATGTTGTTTAGGAAGTGGATACCACACCTGCTTCCAAACATGTCTTAATCTGGGAGCTCCACCAAACCCTGTCCACCATGAGTAACCATTATGGTATTCAACACCCCAATGGCACAGAGTTCAGCATCACAGCCACTCCAGATTACTTCAGTACAGCAAATTGACAGACCAGTGCTGCACCACTGAGAAGAATGTTCCTCTAAATTATAATTACACTAGGTCTGAGGGCCTAACCTACTTTTAAATACAAAGGCCCTCCAGGAGATGTTGTTGACTATAAACAATAGGCTTAAATTAAAAACAACCAAACATTCCACACAGACCCTCATCCAAAACAAGAGAGCTCACCTTTCAGAGTAAAACTGCTTCCCCAGTCTCCCTTTCTTATTAGACAAGTGTAAACAAAAAAAGTAGGAGCCAACTAGGGACAGAAATATTCAACCTTTACCAACTTTACAAAGGGGAACTATCCACCTCAATATCAATAACACAAAACAGATTCCCATGAGACAAGACAAGTCCTCTGTGCCTACCCACTCCCACACCCTTTCTATTCATCCTAACACCAATCTCACTACTGGATCCAAAATCTGGTGCAATAGCTCACAGACCATGCAGAACCATATTGGGGAAGCCAAAAGTTTGTAATTCAGTTTAGTAGAAGACTGGAGGGACTGCAGGAACGGAAGACCCAGGATGAGATGGATTGACTCAATGACTAGAAAAATGGGATTAGGTCTGTTGGAGACAATGTGATTGGCTCAGGACAGGACAGGGTTCAGAACTATTGTACATAGGGTCGCTAGGAGTCTCAGTTGACTCGATGTCACATAACAACAACAGCAGAGTGCAGTCAGGACAGTTTCTAAAATGTGCTCAAGGGCACCTCAGCCTTGGGCCTCACAGCTTAGGGTCTGTGTTAAAAAGCTCTCAGTTCTCCTACTTATGGTTCTCTAGGATGAAGGTGCTTAGCTCCACTTTGGTGGGGTAGCCATCCCCAACTGTTTATATTATACAGGATGGACCTTTCTAAGATTACAAATAATATGGAGGAATGTTGCCTGGTGAAGTGGTAGTTACCATTTTCATAACTTTTTAGAGAGTATTATGACAAAAGACTTCAAAATTCTAGAGATGGTCAGACCTCCTGCCTTCAGGAAGAAAGAGAGCTCTGAATAGGGACAATAGAGTGCTGGTGACTCCAAAGGCTGGCTCCAAAATGATCATCCTTATGTGGCAAATGAATATCCAACTTAAGGGCATTCTCAGAAAGGAACTGCATTCTTTAGTGGTGGTTCAAGGGAGTCCTGGTGGCTTAGTCCATAGGGAGGTGTACTGCTAAGCCAAAGGGTTCGTCTCTCTGGCAGTTTGACTCCACCAGCTGCTCCACATGAGAAAGATGAGCAATCTCCTCCTGTTTGATCCACAGACTCCAAACCCAATTGAGGGTCAGCTGTGAGTCAGCTCCAACTCGATGGATGGCAATACGTTTGAATGTGGGTGGTCATTTAATGAAGAAAACACTTTCCTCTGGCAGTCAGAGACTTTTAAGTCACTTCTGGTATGACTTCAAATTCCTTTAAAGGTAAAATTATTCATCACACAAGGCTTCTTGGCCTTGCACAGTGCAAAGTCAGCAGAGTGAAAAAAATGAAGAAAAACGAAGCATTTCCATGTTACCAAGACAATAAGACAAGAAAGTTTGAAGAAATTGAAGCACTTTGGCTCATGGAAGCCAGAGTCAGAAAAAGAAAGTGAAAGTGAATTCCTTTTCCAAAGATTTACAGAGCTAAAGGGAACCTATATTGAAGAAAAGAATAGGTACCTAAATATGCCCTGGGATAAGTGATTATCGCAGAAGATCCCATGCTAACAACTTCAGGCATAAAGGGTTTTACTAACAGCAAATCTAATCTGCTTTTGCCAAATTTATCCTAAACTTTAAGGCCTAAGGCAAGAATGGACTCACAAATTCATTGCCATCGAGTTGGAAGAGACACATAGCTGACCTCCAGTGGGTTTCCTAGGATAGAAATTGCATGGAAGAAGATTGTCCATCTTTCTCTTCCGAACCCACTATCAGATTGAACTACCAGAGAGGCAATGTTTTGGGTTCAGCAACACAACTCCCTACAAATTAGGGAGCTCATTCAAGTACTATTGTTAGGTGCCTTCAAGTCAAGTACCCTTCAAGTCATAGTGACCCTATGAACAACAGATCTGAAACCTGTCCTATCCTGTGCCATATTCATCATCTTCAATATACTTGCACCCATGGCTGTGTCAATCCACCTTATTGAAGATCTTCCTCTCTTTCGCTGACTCTCCACTTTTCCAAGCATGATGTCCCTCTCCAAGGATAGCTTCTCCTAGAAATGGGCCCAAATTATGTGAGATGGAAGCTCTGTCAACCTTGCCTCCAAGAAGCATTCTGGCCTCACTTTTTCCAAGACATATCCGTTCTTTTGACAGTCCATAGGATATTCAGTACTCTTGTAGAACCCTGCAGTTCTAAGGGATCAATTCTTCTGTTATCCTTAATTCACTGTCTAGCTTTCCGATGTATAGCAAGCAATTGAAAAGATCATGGTCTGAATCAGGTACACTTTAGTCTTCAAGCTGGTATCGTTGCTCCTCAGTAATTTGGAGAGGTCTCTAAAGCAGACTTTCCCAGTGCAATACGTCTCCTGATCTCCTCAAGGCTGGTACCAAGGGTGTTATGGATCCAAGTAATGTGAAATTGTTGACAACTTCAATCTTTCTCCATGTATCATGATGTTGCTTTTTCATCCAGTGATGAAGACTTTAGTCTTCTTGACATTGAGATACAATCTTTATTGAAGGCTAAAGTTCTCAACCTTCTGCAGCAAGTGTTTCGAGTTCTCCTCACTTTCAGCAAGCAAGGTTGCGACATCTGCATAATGCAAGATGTTGATAAGTCTTCTTTTGATCCTGATGCCAGATTCTTCTTCACTGAGTCCAACTTCTTGAATAATTTGCTGAGTGTAAAGAGCAAATAAGTACGGAGAAATTATATAGCTCTGATGCACACCTTTCCTGATTTTAAACCATGTGGCATGGAATATCCAAGAAGTCGTTTAAGCAGCTCTGGCAGCTCTGGTATAATCCAGGAAGCTGCACTGCCAACGCACAAGTTGAGTCTCTCTGGTAGTTTGAATCTACCAGCTAGCTGTTCCCCTGGAAAAAGATGGGCCATCTCTTCTAGGCTATTTATAGCCTCTGAGACCCATTGGAAGATCAGCTCTGGGTCAGTTATGACTCGATGGGGGGAGGGAGAGAGAGAGAGAGAGAGAGAATATTCAAGGAAGCACTACTTGTCAGTGTGTCTTCTTTGGTGATTTATGTGTTGCCACAAGCTCTAAACACCAGTAGGGTCCTCTTGGTGGATATAGTAAAACAAAGTTTATAAAGCAATTGGATAAAGAAGGAGACCTGTTGTTATAATTCATTTCATGATAAGCAATTGTCAGCAGTTTGATTTCACCAGGTCATCCGTGAGAGAAAGAGACACAGTGTTCTTCTGTAAAGATTTCTATTGTAGGAAGCCCCAGTGTAGGTTTGCTTTAAGTCAGAATTGACTCACAGGTTATGCCTGTGGATGTAATCTTATCTAGAAATACAGGTTTTTTTGTTATGCCAATAGACCTCAAATCTAACCTAACTACATTCTTGAGTTATAAGGATAAGCATAGACATATAGATGAGTAAACACAGAGAACATAACAAATATCTGATTAACACAAAGCAGAAACATCCAGAATCCCAAAAATTCCAAAGATTGTCAGCTACTAGATTTACACTCTGAATTCTGACTTCTTAATCACGAGAAAGTAAGTTTCTGTTCTTCAAAATCACTCTTTAGGGTATTTCTGTCATGGTAAGATGAAGAAACTAAGTCAGGGGCAAACCAGGAAGTTCTGCATTCACAGATTGCCTTTTTCAAATATTTAATGATGTTTTCAACTGTGAACTTACTGTGCACGATAGACTCTCTCAAAGTCTGGTGACCCAGTAACTGCCGGAGGTGCGATTTTGTATTTTTTCCTTGCTTTTCCAACCTGAAAAGCAAAATAACCTGCAAGAGAAGAGTTTAATTAGTCATTAGGGAAATGTAAATTGAAATCACAATGGGCTATCATTATACCTATCTGGCAGCCTAGTGGTAAGAAGCTGTGCTACAATCTCGAAGGCACACAGTTCAAGGCCACCAGCTACTCTGAAGGAGAAGGATGGGCAATCTCCTCCCCTGCGATTAACTGCTTCTGAAAATCTTCCAGAGGGTCAGCTATGGGTCATTCAAACTTGAAGGTACACAATAAAAACAACATGTTACAAAAACAAACAAACCTAGTGTCACTGAGTCTAATAATAGTGACACTTTCTGGTTTCCAAAGCTATAAATTTTTATGCAAGGAGTCTTTTGCCTTCTTCCAAAACACATTATTAACTAATTAATTAATAGCATATTTCAACAAATAGATGCTGCCCTGGATGTGTTCACCAAATTGTGCCAAGAAATCTGGGTGACAACTACCTGACCAACTGACTGGAAGAGATCTATCTATATTCATTTCCATTCCAAAGAAAGGTGATCCGACAGTGTGGAAATTATCAAACAATATCTTTAATATCACATGCAAGCAAGATTCTGCTGAAGATTTTCCAAAAATTACTGAAACAAGCACATCAACAGAGAACTGCCTGAAGTGCAGGCTGGGTTTAGAAGGGGTCGTGGAACTAGGGATATTATAGCTAATGTTAGATGGATCTTGGCTGAAAGCAGGAAGTACCAGAGGAATGTTTATCTGTGTTTCATTGACTCTACAAAGGTGTTTGACGGTGTGGATCCCAACAAATTGTGGCTTACTCTGAGAAGAATGGGAATCTCAGAACATTTAATTGTGCTTATGCAAAACCTATACTTGGACCATGATGCAAGTCTTCAGAACAGAGCAAGGGAACATTGCATGGTTCAAAATTGGGAAGGGCGTACGCCAGGGATGTATCCTACTTCCATACCTTTTCAATCTATATACAGAACAGATCATCTGGGAGGCTGGGCTCTATGAGGAGAAGTGTGGCATCAAGATTGCAGGAAGACTCAACAACAATCTGCACTATGCAGATGACACAATCCTGCTTGCTGAAACTGAGGAGGACCTGAAGCACTTGCTGCAGAAAGTCAAGGACTGCAGCCTTAAATATGGACCGAAGCTCAATATCAAGAAAATAAAGATTATTTTTTTTAGATAGTAACAACGTGTTTATTACGTATCACCCGGTAATGGATATAAACACAAAGCACTTAACTTAAGGAAAATAAGAAAACATTAGGAAATTCCTAGAATACTACTGCAAACAAGTTTCACCTACACGACAATTAAATTAGTTAATCATTTTGGTCATCGTCCCAGTCTTTCTTGCCACTTGGAGGCTTCGACCCACCAGCTGGTTTTGCCATGATGATTTGATCTACTCTCAGTACAGTGACAGCAGCATTGGTAGCCAGTTTGATAGCCCAGTATTTCCCCAGGTAGGTATCAAGAACACCAGCTTCCAACATGTCTTTTACAGCAGGGACTTCAGCCTCGCCATATGACGTAATTTGTTGTGAAAAAAAATCTTTGATGAAAATAAAGATTTTTTTTCACCACAGGGCCAATTGGCAACATCATGAAAAATGGAGAAGAGATTCAGATTATTAACAGCTTAAGTTTGCTTGCTTAAAATCGCTCCACAATCACCACTCTTGGTATCAGCAGCCAGGAAATTAAAAGATGAATTGCATTGGGAAAATCAGCTATTCAGACTTTTCCAAAGTAATGAAGAGTAATGGTATCAATCTGGAGACTAAGGTGTACCTGATTCAGGCAATAGTCTGCAATTACTTGGTATGCATCAGAAAGCTAAACAATGACTAGGGATGATGCAAGGAGAATTGATGCCTTTGAGCTGTGGTGCTGTAAAAGAGTATTGAATATACCCATGGGACTGCTAGGAGAACTGCTAGCTTTGTCCTAGAGAGGGTTAAACCAGGCTGCTCCTTGGAGGCAAGAATTCCGAAGCTTCTTCTAACATACTTTGGACGTGTTGCAAGGAGAGACCAGTCCTTGGAGAAGGATGTCATGCTTGGGAGGGTGGAGGAACAACACAAAGTGAAAGACCCACGATGAAATTCAGTGACTAGGGTAATGGGGGTAAGGTGTGTCAGAGACAATAAGATTGGCACAGAATAGAGCAAGCAGGGTTTAGGGTTGTTGTACACAGGGTCGCTACTAGTTGCAGGTGACTCAAAAGCACATAACAACAATAATGTACTGTCAATATTCTTCACAATGCCATATTATTTGCTGACTCATAGGTGACCTTCCAGTGGGTTTTCACAGGCTGTAATCTAAGGGGAGGAGATCGCTCATCTCTTTCCTTCCAGGTAGCTGGTGGATTGGAATCACCCTCTTTGGGTTGGCAGCATAACTCCTACACACTAGGCCACCAAGCTTTCCTGTTAGTCTATTATATAGTCAGTATTCTCCACCAATATCATAATTCCAAAGTCATTAATTCTATCATTAATTCTAAAGTCTTCTTTATTCATTGTTCAACTTTTACATGTCTCTGAGGCAATACTTTGACTCAGAGTAGGAGCACTTAGTCTCAAAAAAGCATCTTGACTTCTTCACACTTTAAAGGCATCTTCTGCAGATTTGTCCAATGCTCTGTGTTTTTTGGTTCTTAAATACTGTGTCCATAGGCATTCATTGTAGATACAAAAACATTAGATCCTTGACAACTTCAGTCTTCATTTATC